ACTTCCTACTAATAAAAGTTAAAAAAAATTTTTTTTTGATAATTTTTTTTTTTTTTAAATTTATATGAATTTTGTCTTGCTTAACAATTATATATAAAAAAAAAATCGAGTTCTATATAAAGTTACTTAGAGGGCTACGACTTTTAATTTCGTGAGGGTATTATGTAAATCGACGATCTTTTTTTTCATAATGCGTTTCTATTTCTTTCATGTGACCTTGACCTTGATAATTAAAAATCGGTTTATACTTAAAACGGGTTCTTCTACTAAGCAAATCGAACTTTACTAAGTAAAGTTGTTCAAAATGTCATCTTTTACCCCCAAATTTTGGTGCAATATGGATAACCATAGATTTTTCATTATACGTTTGGCACAGAAAATTAATTTCTGCGCCAAAGTGTATAATGAACTTAATAAAAAGTTATCCGAATTTGCACCAAAGTTTGAGGTAAGTAAAAGATGGAATTTACAATAATTTTTCTTAATGGATAGACTTCGATTTGCTTAGTAAAAAAATCATGTTTCCTTGTAATATGTTCAATTCGTCACAATACCCACATTCGCCATAACACCCACACTCACCTTATATTCTTGATGACATCAAAAGACAATACAAGATCGCGATGGATTTAATGATTTACGGAGGGTATTATTCAATAATATCTGGTACTGCATGGGTGGGTTACTTTATCAAATGAATACTGTAGGCGGTGCTATACACATATTCAACCATTGGCTTTATAATCTTGGGATGTCCTCGATTAGCATCGATGCTTGATTGCATTTAGCATTATATATTGTCTAATAATCCAGTATTGTCAAATTAATTATTTATTTAAAAATGTCATTATTCTTATCAACTGAAATTATACTATTCTTAACTTTAAATGCGTGATTGGAACATAACGATAGATAATACTAAAAAAAAATTGGATATTGTTGAGCATTGATTATTTGGCATAAATTAGGAATTGGTGTAACTTGATATAACCCGATATAACTCTGTAATTAACCGAATATCTTTTTTTTTTCCTCTTAAACCATTGATCATATATTTCAAGAGAGAAATTTATCAAGTTTATCATGTCTTCCACTGATATTATTTCAATACCGGCAGACTTCTTCATAGGATTTGCTAGGACAATTGGAAAAATCAGTGATCCTTTTATTACACCCTTAGAAAATGTGGTTAAGTCAAGTTTGCAGATTTTATTTCCAACACTTTATAACGACGCAGTGGAATTCTTGGAATCGAGTCAATCACCATTTACGTCACGGTTACCATTAATGAATCCTTTTCATGTGTTAATAATTGTTCTCGCTTATTTATTCATTATATTCGTGGGAAAACAAATTATGACAAATCGCACTAAATTTTCAGTTAAAGGATTAAGCATAGTTCACAATTTGGTTTTGGTTACTTTGAGTGCTTATATGTGTACCACCGTGTTGTATGAAGCTTGGAGACAAAGATATGTGTTGTTTGCTAACCCTGAAGATAAATCGGAGAAAGGTTTTCAGGTATAATAGCAATAAATCGTTTCTTCAATGAATGTATGATCGTTCTTAACTATAAAAATATTTGCTTAATGCACATAATATTAGATGGCAAAATACATTTGGGTATTCTATGTTTCAAAAATTACCGAGTTTATGGATACATTCATTATGGTATTAAAAAAGAATAATCACCAAATCAGTTTCTTACATGTTTATCATCACGCATCCATATTCATTATTTGGTGGTGGGTTACTTATGTCGCACCAACTGGTGAAGCTTACTTCAGTGCAGCTTTGAACTCAGGTACGATCTAAATCTAATATTCACACATTAATTCATACATTAAATTGTTACATTGTATTCTCATTCTATTTCTCATTTACTATTTTCTAATTGCAGCTGTTCACGTTGTGATGTATGGTTATTACCTTAGTACTGCCATTTCAATTCCAATTCGATTCATTAAACGTTACATAACTTTATTTCAAATGACACAATTCATGTTAAATATGATTCAAGCTACTTATGATATATTTTATTTCAAAATATTACGCCCTGAACTTAAAGAAACCTACCCATTCGGGTTAACTTTCATACTTTGGGTTTATATGTGGACTATGTTAGCATTGTTCGCCAATTTCTTTAAAGCTGATCGTAAACGAGAGCGTGAAGCTAAAACTAGAGATGAAAAGAAAATTCAGTAGATAAATTATTATTTAGGTTATATTATTCTTGTTTAGTATAGTGTAGTGGTGAAAGTTTATAACTTGATTATCTTATTTGAAATACGATTTATTTTTGTACTCATCTGGCGTCTATATGCATTTAAATAATTAAAACATGGGCTTAGTTTTTTTATAGTAAGCCTTGTTAAATGTTAATTAATATTCCATTATTTATACTGATATGTAACTAATCTCTTCACTGGCGGTTTAAAAAATTTTTCAAGTCAAAGTAAAGGGGTTGCTTCTATTTGAGTCTAATTTTATTAGTATAACATAACAACCTTAGTCAATTTAGTTATATTAATCAAAGGATGTACAAAGATATAGGTGTTTAATGAAATTCTAATTGTCGCTTGGCTCGGGTCCCATATAATTTGTACATGAATTAAAATTTTATCGACAAATGTAACTTTCAACGTCCATATCATAGGCATATCATAGGGTGTTTAAAAAGGCCGTCAGTCACGTTATCACAATGATTTTTATTACGCTCGATATCGCCGATTTAGTATATTATTTTAACATACTCAACAATTGTATTCCCTATATTTTTAATCAATTACTTTATAACCAGGTCAAATTTTAATTAGGATGTAAAATTTTACTGCGGTCAACCCTCGTTAAATATCAACCTATTTGGATTAGATATATATACGAGGGCTGATAACAAAAGAATAATAGTTTATTCAAAGCGAACTCAATTTTTTACTAAATAAACTGTCTTTTAGCTTCTAAGTAATGTTGTACAGGTTGTAGCAAGTAGAGATTGTTCTTATAATTCTAACGTTGGTAAAATCTTTAAATTTGACCCAATTAATCATGAGAGCAAAGAGATTTTATCTCGTGACCTACTGGGTCAAGTTTAATGATACTACATACCATGTTATGTATAATTGTAATAACGATACGTAACTGTCCCTAATCCTTACTTAGAAACTATAAGGCAATTTACTTAATAAAAAATCAAGCTCGCTTGCTGTTGTA